CAAATTAATCACATATGTATTAACAAAAAGGTTAGATCATCCTTTTACGATGTTAGGGCTTTCAGAGATGCCGATGTATTTACCGACCATTTCTGGGTGGTAAGTAAACTCAACTTGAAGCTAACATCTTATAATCATAGAAACCAATATAATATAGGTTATCTCAGGGGTAAGAAATTAAGGAACAGTTTTCAGTACCAGTCTCTAATAAGTACCAGGTGTTGCAGCAGCTAACTAAAGATGTCAGCACAGAAGTCTGCTGGAATCAGATCAAAGGAATCTGGAATGAATCTTGCGTAGACGTTCTTGGCAAGAAAGAACGGAAATATAAAGCGTGGATTACACCAGAAACCATTAAACTGATTAAAGATAGGAAAAGTAAAAAGGCAGACTTAAACAATAGCAAAACTAGAGCTGCTAAAGCTAGAGCTCAGGATTAATACGCAGAGGCCAATAAGGAAGTAAGGAGGCGTATAAGGGCAGATAAAGTGAAATATCTAAATGATCTACCACAAGAAGCGGAGACAGCAGCAGCAAAAGGAAACCTCGGAGAACTTTACAGTAACACAAGAAAATTAGTAGGTAAATGTAGTCAGCTAACTGGATCAATCGAAAATAGTCAAGGAAAGTTACCTTCTAACACTACAGATCAAATGGACAGATGGGTTGAATATTTTGAAATGCTTCTAAATAGACCAGGTCCATAGGTTTCCCCAGATATCTAGCCTTTAAAAATGGAACTAGATATTAACAGTGAGATACCATCCAAAGAGGAAATTAGAAAAGCTATCAATCTTCTCAAGGAGGGAAAGGCGGCAGGCCCAGATGGTATCCCAGCTGAAGCCATCAGGACCAACATAAACACATCAACGGAATTGCTACATAGATTATTTAGTAAAGTAAGGGAGACCGAAGAAATACCAACAGACTGGAGAGAAGGTTATCTTGTGAAACTGCCTAAAAAAGGTGATATACAGGAGTGTGAAAACTGTAGAGGAATTATGTTGATGTCAGTTCCTGGAAAAATATTAAGTAGAATTATTTTGGAATTATTAAAGGATGCTTTTGATAAAAAGCTAAGAGATGAACAGGCAGGTTTTCGTTTAGACAGATCCTGTACTGACCAGATAGCCACATTATGTATTATAATAGAGCAAAGCATTGAACTGAACTCACCACTTTATATTGGAT